TAGACAAATTACATCAGAGAATACAAAAGTACCAGAAGTCACTTGTTTTAACTAAAATAAATAATTGTTCATAAGTCTAATAGTATATATATATATATATATATATATATTCGGGATCTTTCGGAAACGAAAAATTGTGAAAATTAATCAGATAAAACTGAGAAGAAAAGTCATGTGCCAAAATTTTGCAAGAATCACAATAGTTATTAAATTATTAATGATTGAAAATCATTAATACATCACATTTAGAGGTTTATTTAATTGATAATTTGAAAATTTGTGTATTACTTATTTGCAAAATGATAAAGGACTTTTTTCTTTAGAATGACCTAATTTACAATTATATGACGGATATTGTGCTTAGCGACAGGTTCAAGATTCAGGATTCAAAATTCAATATATACTCATATCTATCGCTAAATAGAATAGCCAACATATAATTGTAGATTAAGTTATCCTGAACAAAAAAGTTCCTTACCATTTTGCAATTAAATACGCAAATTTTCAAGTTATCAGTTAAAAGGCCTCTAGATATATATATATATATATATATATATGATCAATCATTAATAACTTAATAACTATTTGTGCAAAATGCTATTTGACTTTTCTTCTCAGGTTGATCTGATTAATCTTCAAAATTTTTCGTTTCCAAAAGATTCTGGACTTTTCCGGTTAATTTTCCGATCTATGTTTATTGAGACTTCTTCCACCATTTTATGAGTATTACCTGCCCTTCAAGTCCTGAACCATTTTTTCAAACACCCTCTATCTCGCGCTGGACATTTCTTTTGGAGGCATTCTATTTGTGCGCTGTCTTGATTGATATGCTCTCAATACATTCGTTTCTTGGCTTATTTCTCTAATGGTAGTCCCGATTTCCGCTGAAACGATTTTATTCCCCGGCCACGTGTGGTCGAGTCAATCGAGAAATTGTTATCGCCGTCGCTGCTGTTGTTACTTCCAGACGACCTGGGCGATCTGGTTGGCGGTCGTTCCGCGCGAGAGCTTTAAAGCCTTGGAAAGAGTAGACGAAAGCTCTTAGCATGTCGGGGTCGGTTAGCGGTGAACGCTAAATGGAGCTCGACGATTTAAGAGCGGCATGCAATCACGTGAAACGCGATTATTTGTCGCAATGTCGCGTTAGGAAACTCCCGTGAAAATGCGAATTCGGAGAACACATCATTCTGCGCGATGAATTTGTTACCGGAACAGGGAGAACTCTAGTTACGCTCTTTATGCCGAATTGCAGGACATACCCGAAAAGAGTATTCTCTTTGTAAAGTGATTTTTCCCATAGTCTCATATTCTAAGTGAAGTCTTTTGTAAAAAAAGGATTCTTCTTTCGATAAAGCGATTAAAGTGAATCATTCATTTAAAATTTATTAGATATTATTCTAACTGTTTTCCTCTTATTCCAAGAGGATTTCCTCTTACATCAATTAATTTTCCTCTTATAAGAAGAGGAATATGTTGATTCGAATGTTCTTTTGTTCAGTCATGCTCTATCTTCAGATATGAACGAAAAATTAATCTTATGCTCATAATCAGAATAGTCAGAATATTTGGAACGCTTATTAAAAAAGGTATGTATGTTGCTGTAACATATAACAAAGATAATTTACTCATATTTGGTCAAGTACAGTTTATAATCTATTGCAAAAAATCGAATAATATATTCTTTCTTTTAACAGTGTTTCATACAATTGGTTATGATGAACATCTTTGTAGTTGTGAAATCCATAACAAAACTGATTGGAAATTTATTTGTTACGATGATCTTATTTCATTCGTGCCTACTTATTGTAGAACTGGAACCAGAAGTATACATCTATACACATGTATTACTTTTCGATATATATTATAATAATTTTTTCAAATTAACTAGTATAACCAGTAAGAATAAAGTACAGTAGGAATAAATAATAATCCTCTCAAAAAAAGATTAAATGATCTGTGTATAACAGGAAATTTATATTAAAATCAATAAGATTTGCATTATACACATAATACCTCTAACTTTAAGAATAACGTGCTTATAATATTTTCCTCTTAATCTCAGAGGAATTCTCTTGAGGTTATATATATAAAAATAAAATCCTTTAAAATTTAGATGATTTCGCTTATTCTGAAATTACTTTTTTTTCTTTTTGGGTGGCACACGGAAGAAATGGAGTTTGATTTCGAACGAAATTATATACTCGTATTAAAACGGAGATGTCTAATAAATTGAGCCACTGATTTGATGATTAACGTTAAATCGGAGAAGTGCGATGTTCGCTTGAGCTGTGTACGCGTAAAGTAACAACAGTGCCTGGAAAGGCGACTGCGTTATCTCAATTATGTGTTTGTGCTTATTTGACATTCGCTGTAATTAGATCGCAGAGATAACGACCCGCAATTTAGATGCATTAACGGGATTAACCGAACGGGATTCGAACATCGCTCGAAAGTTCCTGCAATATTTAATCAGAGTCGCGGTAATGCGTGCGCAAACCGCCAGCGCCTTCTTCCCGCATAGAACAAACATCGTCTCTCCCGCGTTCATCCTCTTAAGGGGTTTGTTCAGACGCTGAAACGCGGCTTGCCTTTTAATTTCGCGACGGCGATTCCGGAATCCCGTCGCGATTCCGACGAAGGACTTCCGAGGATTAATGGCGGCCGGCTGGAGGGAGGAGGCTGTTGAACAGCGACGATTAAGCGTCGTCGCATAAGAATGCATCCGGAGCGCATAATAATCCCGGACGATGCCTCATCGCGGCAATAAATGTCTCGCCGGGCGACGCCCGGCGCGTCGCGGCATTGAAGAGAAAAGGTGGTTAAATTGAAATTACCAGCCGTGTCCCTCGAAGGGCTAAGACCCGCAGCTAGACCCGCTATCACTCCGCTGTCTGGGTTAAACCTCTGTAAACAAGGAGCAGCGGCGACGAAGAGAAACCGGCTAACTCATTGCGGCTGCCGTCCGTTAATCACTCCGATTACTGGATGTCGTTTTGCGAAGTAATCCCGTTGTTGTAGACGAGTCACAACGACGACTGCTGAGCGACACCGGAACGGGAAGAGGCGAAGACGTCAATCGGGACGATATTCTCGTGACAATTACGGCCAACAGCGCGCAATGCGAGAGTGACTCAGCGTTCAGCCGAAAAGCGGGGAAACGCGGGGGTAATTACTTGCGCATAAATAAGGCCGAAGTTTGCGATTCGGTGTTGCAAAGTAACCGACCGACGGTTAAGTAACGGGAGCCGACGCTTCGCGGCCTTTTAGACTTGAGGAGAGACTTCAATCATCGAAACGGCGTCACCCGTGACTTTATCATTTATCGTCGTTTTAATACGCGAGACCAAAGTCCAACAGGAGAGCGCGGCTTCTTGCGCGAGTTTGCACGCGGCTTTCATTAGCGAGAGTTGCCAGCCGGAAGGCAGAAGCGCGGTTAAAGTTGGGGAGCTGATTGAAGTACCTCGGCGGTTTACCACCTCCGCAGCCCTACCGTCACCCCCGCCTTCCTGTCCCCCCGCCACCGATCCGTTCCTCTCTTCTATTCTCTCTTCGATCGTTTTCTAACTTTTCGAAAAGTGCCCGCGCTCATTAAGCTTCGAGCAAACAATCCCGTCGGAATCCAGTGATCATGGGTTATCCCGCTTGTGAAAGCCACGCCGCCGGCCGCGCGTTTGTGTGAAAGAAGGCGGCCATTTCTCGACCGACCGACCGCGCTGTTGCGAAGCTGTTATTCTCCCCCCGATCGTTCTCCAACTTTTCAGATGTGATCGCTCTCGTTAGAGGTTGCGTGAGCGTAGAACCGTCTTGGGGTTCGAGAATTCCTCGGCCCTCAAAAAGTCTCGTCGAATTTATTCTGGAAAAGGAAGAAGACGAGGAGGAGGAGGAGAAGGAAGAAGAAGAAGAAACGGCCATCGTTCTCGCTACTCCGTTACCCACGAAGCCTGCGCGCTCTGCCGAACGACGATATATACCTCCCGTTTTTCCCCCCAACAAATTGGGAAATAAATTTGGCGACTTTACCTTTAAGGTGATTTGATTTGACAGACGCAGCGCCCGGAAGGGTTAATCAGCGGGGGAAATTACCATTTTTTGCAACAAGAGAAAAAAAAAGTAGCCGGACAAAGTTGGCGAGCTCGAAGGAGTCTCATCGATTTTATAATCTACCCCCTTCGCGCGCGCAGACTATTACTCCCTTCTTCCCGCCTGCTTCAGCCCTCCCCGTTCCTCCTGGTAACTCGACATCCTCCCTGCACACGGCGATGTGCGGCGGGGCAGCGGGGCGATCCTTTTCTTTTTCTTAATGTAGTACGTCGTTGATTCACAGTTAATGAAGCGAGAATGAACGTCGGACAAAAAAACGGCACGTTTCGCAGGAGCGAGAAACGCGCATCGGGAAATTTCCCGTGACGGTCTCGCTGAGATAGGATTTTTCTTTCCCCTCTTCCTTTTTTTACAACTCGCACAAGCGAAAATTTCGCGCGTAAACGCCGGCCAGGTGGAAATTATGCGCCAAAGCACACTCGCGCCGCACTTTTCACGCTTCCGCAGTCGCGATTCTTTCCGCCCCCCCCTCCCCCTCCCCCTCCCCCCTCCCGTTAGCACGCTGGGGCCGAAGCTATCGAGCGCGAAAATAAGTAGACCGTTCGCCTTTAAGCGAGTGAAATCTCGAAGAATACACTGCAGATTGCAATTATGCAAAAAGCTGTACAATTATGCGATGGTGCAAAAAGCTCGATAATGGCCGGACATTTTGAGAGCAGCTTCCTCGCGGTGTATCGCGCTGCAAACTCTATATACCTTTCCTCCCCTGACCTATGTCGCGTTCTATTCGGCGTTTGCGTCGAAATTATTAATTTTCAAGAATGACAACAGCAATCACGGAGCTGTCGGTTCGAGGGTTTCGCTGATAATGAATTAATTACGCCGCGGCTTACGCGAGATACACACTCGACGCTCTTCTTCGCTGAGTCTGGCTGCTCAATTTCCACCCTTTGTTCCAGACATCCCCACGCCGGCTTGTAGTTACGTGAGGTACAGCAGCCTGGAGGACGTGAGGCCGCAGGAGTTGGGCTTTCGCCAATTAGAATTCACGCCCACGGTCGTCTCAAAAATACGGTAAGGTTGCCCGGCCGTCCGTTCGTTCGTCCGTTCGTTCGTTCGTTCATTCTTTCGTTCTTTCGTTCGCTCCTATAATCACGCCATTGTTAACTCGCTATTAAAAGGGAGGCGCACGCCGGGCGGGTTGTCAAGACGGCTCCTTAAAGGGCTCGAATTTAATTATGCCGGCTCGACGATCCGCGGAGCGGGGTCCTGCTCGCGCAGCGAGCGAGTCTCCTAATTAGCGATGCGGCTGCTGTAGTTGCCCTTCAACCCTTCGCACGCATAATGGAAACTCTCGTCGCGATGCGAAAGGGCGGCTCGGCGTAAAGGGCGAAATTCATTTCGGTACGTGCCGTTTTGCTTACAACGCGAGCTAATTGCGTTCGGTAATCGCGAACGCGCGATCGAATCGGCAAATTCTGCGATCCACGAAGCCGGGAGTCAAGTCGTGACGAGCCAACGAGGCGACGGATTCGAAATTGATTCATCAATCACAGTCGAGTCGACACGGAGTTCTTTTGTGCGCGATGAACGTTTCTGGGGGCTTGAGAGAGAAATTAAAAAATATCTCGACACAAAAATTCCGAGACACAAACGTTCCTCTCGATGGAAAGCTTGAAATGAACGCGAAATACGTAGTAATTTATGCGAGCGTAACATTTATCGTCTATCGGCAATTATTTTTACGCACAATCATTCTCCACCTCATCATGCATAATTATTCAATATAATCCGGTGTATATCTTCTTTCAATTTTCCATTTGATATTACTGATCTGAAAAATATCTGGACGAAGCTGAATAATTTCGAGCGAAATCAAAGATACCCCGTCGGATGGCTCGCTCGCAATTACGAACAAAGTTACTGACTACGAGTAACAAAATTTGTATAAATAAAACGTCCCATCGCGTTTTTCCAATAGAGCACGCTCCGAGAGAAATAAACACGAAATTATTTTTATGCAACGCAATGTGCGTCACGAGAGCGCGCCCACGCGATGTATTTTAATTAGAGCGGCGACACGTGAAACGCGTCGACGTGTTAAGCGTCCGGTATCAATTAACAACTAATTATAGCGCAACATTCGTGACTGGAATCATACGACGCGCTCGATATATTTGCATGTGTAAATTTGCTTTAAAAATGCGGAAAAAAAAGCTTCGATAAACGCCCGGCTTTATCGAAGGGGGGTGCGTACACATCGAGTAACGATTATTTATTCCCTGTCGGTCGGAGGACTCGCGATTCGCCGAATATTATCACGCGATTAATACCGACGAGCGTGAGACGCGAGCTTCAACTCGAGTGGGCAAAGGGACAAAGGGGGGAGGGGAGTGGAAATTAGCTTTTTTGCCGAATCGAGCGTCATCGGCGCTTAGGTTTTCGGTGAGCATGAGCCGCAACGTTCAATACGCGGTAAACGAGATAGAAAGTTAGACGATCCCGCGGAAGTTGGAGCGATCCAGGAATCCAAGTTCAAAGAGCCTGCCGTTATTGTGCGCCGGAGCTTGCGAGAATCGATTTCAGGCTTTCGCTCGGAACCGGTCGTTCCGTTATATAACAAAAGCGCGAATTTAATCGCCCAGCTATCCGTTCGCAATTTACCCTTCGCGCTCCGATCTCCGATCTCGGGACTCGAGGCTCTTGAAAAAAATGTTAACGACCGCCATGAGGGTCGAGAGAGCCCCTCAAGAAATATCCGAGGACTGCGACGAGCCTGTGCAAGTGGAGACGAATGAGAGCCGAGTCGAGTTTCACCCCCCAATTGCCATCTTGCCGCTCAAGGAAATCGAATTCAATTGTACGCGAGGGAGCATAATTAATATCGCCCGGCGATAACAATCTCGCTAATTCGCAAAGCATGCCAGCGGACACCTTGCTCGTTCGGCCCTGATATTCTGTCGTCGCGGTGACGAATATTAACGGAGGAGTTAGCGGCGAACCGGTATCACGTCGTATGCACTCACGCGCGGTCCGTCCTGATACAAAGGGACGCATCCAGTCCATGACGTGCAGTGCACCCAACGGCCCTCCCTGCCTCCTCTCACCCCCCTCTCAGCTCCACTTTCCCTCCGTCCCTCTGTCTCGCGTACGCATACACGTGCAGCTACGCACTCCCTCATTTATCTTCTCTCTCTCTCTCTCTCTCTCTCTCTCCCCCTCTCCCCCTCTCTCTCGCTCGCTCACTTTCGTCATCTCCGTCTCTCTACGTGTGTAACGCGGAGCGGCAATAATTCAGTTACCGGGACAGAGTCGATAGCGTTGCGGCCGGAGAGGCCACTGATGTGGCTTGATTAACGAAAATTCTCCTTACGGATGCGACGGCGTGTTCCCCGTGTGCTCACGTGTGTTGACACGTGTGTGCGAGCGTTTGTCCGGCCGATGTTTACGCGCGGGCTTCGCCGGGAAGCCGCGGGCCAAATTACTCGACGCGACGCGACGCGATGTTATTGAAGGGTCGCTCTTACCCTCGAGGGAAATGCAATTCCCCGTCTCGAGGAAGATTATTATAGCAGGTGATAGGGCGCTGTCAGTGCGCGCGCGCGTCCTCGGACCGTTTGTTTTTCAGCGCGGCCGAGGAAGGTTTGCTAATTTATCGAGTTGCTCCTCGCGCAGCGGATTATCTCGACTGGTTTATTCCTGCGCAAGACGAAAATGACGGTAATACGAAATAAACGTGTAAATTTCTTTCGCCAAAACGCGGGTAAATTACAGCCGAGTTATCTATCCGGTCTGTAAATGCGAATTTGTAGAAGTTACATTCGGGATAAGGAAATGGGGGAGGGGATGGGAGGGGGGTTTGAGCCTTCCGGATGAAAGTAAGCAGATTTATTCGATTATGCTGAAGACGCGGGTGATATTCTACGCACGCCGCGTCTTTGAGAATTTTTTCCCGAGGAACTTGGCATAACTCTGTTACACGAAAGCAATTGTTGTACAACTCGGGGCAACCTCAATGAATTCCTGAAAATTTGGCATAATTCCACGGCGAATTTCCTGGAGAGGGTGAGTTTCGCAAACTCCCGAAACGCGACCGCTCGAAAATCCGAAGTCTCTGGGGAATTTCGGAAAATTGCGGAAAATTCATAAAAAATTCAACTCAAATGTTCACACCGAAACACACCGGAGAAAGAGAGGGCTCGAAAAAACCGCCGGAGTTCCTTGGATTGCGCCCCGGTGCACCGGGGGGGGGGGGATCCTCTCGCGGATGTTCTCGCGGAGTGAATCCCGCGGGAGATGAAGTATCGTCATGCGTCCTGAGGATTTCGCGAGGCGAACGAGATGAGCGGAATGCCGAGCGACTGTCTCACGGAAAATAATCGCGCGCGGAGTCGCCGCCGCGAGTTCGCCAAGTGCCATAAACGTCGGGAGTTGCCGAGTCGCGGCAATTCGCCGCAGGGGCCGACTGTTTTAAACGACAATCGCATTAGTACGGCGTCGGGCGACTGATTGCCGCGGACTTCCCACTCGCTCTTTGATAGTTCCGCGCACCAAGTTTTGGCCGCGGAGCTCTGTCAAAGCCACCGGAACTCCGCGTAAACTCATCCATTCCGGCCGCAAAACTTCCTCGGGAATTGTCGCCGTCGTCGTGCCAAATCGCTGTACCGAAGAACCGCGCCGCGAATGCGAGATGTCGAGGAGCCGGGAATCGACAGGCCGACCGCGGAGATCGGCTTAAGAGATCTGTTTTTAACAACAATTCAACGTGAGGCAAGCCCGACAGACGCGCGACAGGGCTGTCTTTCTTCGCGCGATTAATCGACGGGATCCATCTCTGCTCCCGCAAGCTTAATTAATATAATCCGTTAAAATGATAATCTGACAGGGAGCGGCCTTGACAAAGCCCGTTTACGTAAATGTAATTTCGCATTAACGTAGTCTAATCTGTGGGATATTAACGTACGAACGGATTATACTGAATTATGCATATCGCGCATACATCGCACAAAGAAAGATTCATGAATCTTTGAATTCTTCTATGAGCATCGACGTCCCTTCCCTGGTACAGGCGACGATAAAAATGGGGAAGAATAGAAATTCTAGCAAGGTGCTACTTCCAGAAACATAATTCCACTTCCTTAAGAAGCAATTAATTCCGTCCCCGAAGGAACGATAAAGGACGAGGGTCGGAGGGCAAGCCAGACATTTAAATTAAGTGGCTTCCTTCGAAATTAGATCAGGGAGAATGTTCACCGCGAATGTTTTCCGTCGCCGTGCCTTGACCGGAATATTTCATCTGGATCAATAAGTAAAGTCCACAACAGAATAATAAAATCGACGTCGAGTTTACGATCTTGAAAAATAAACGAGGAGATGCTTTTTATATGAGTGGAGAGAAAGTGAATTCAAAGAGAATAGGTTCGGTCTCCAAATATAATGATTTATTTAAAGTGGATCCTGTGGGAAGTTAAGAGAAGTAAAAATTCTCGCTTCGAAATATTCAAATAACTTACATCATTGTCGCTTTTAATTAAACAAGTTCGCTAATTTCCGCGGAAAATATTTTGTATTTTTTTTTTAAAGCTGTATATGACAAATATGAAGTGAAGCGACTTAACATATTTCGGATCTTCGCCCGTAATCTCTCATTTATTTCTGCTTTTTGTTATGGCTGATCCTTTGTTATGGCCAATATTTGCGCGAATATTCCATAATAGCAACAGTGAGTGGTTTGAATAGTGAAGGTTAATAACTCTAATTTACTGTTAAACTATGAAGGACTATAGTCAATATTTACTACTGTCAGCAATTATGCCTCGATTATGCCTCCATTTCAAGGAAATATTCCGCTCCCCACTGCCTTCGAGCAGTTTGCAATATACATCGTGCTATTATATGTAGAAGTTCAACGAAGTTTAGCTTCTCGTATATATTCTCGCATTTTCCGATATAATTAAAAAAAAAATATTTTTTCATATTTCTTTCTTTTTTTTTTTTGAGATTAGCCTTCGAACGTATAATAATTTTCTCGTGACTTTTCAGACATTTCTTTTTTTCGCAAGGTACACAATTTG